AAAAAAAACGAGAGACAGAACATCGTTCACTGAATTAATAATTCGTGTAGACAACGTACTATTAGTATGTTGAATCTCGGGGGGTACTCACTGGAATATAATGGATGCGTTCTCACCAGAGAATCATAAACAAATTCTCTCGGTCGAATAATCTCTTTATAAAGTTTTAAAATAGATACAAAAAAACGAAAGAAAGAAATATTGTAAATTAAGCGTATCTTTCAATGATATTTACCTTTTCTTTATACTTGCTTCTTCATCAAAATTGATCAAAATCATATGTATATAGTATGCTTTAGTGACATTGGCTATTGTAGAATGAAGAGAATGTATGCATAAGTGAGAACGGACAGAGAGGGAGCGAGAGAGATTAATTGCTTACAACTGGTACAATATATGCATACTACGATGATAGATAAATAGAGCAATTGTAAGTATGGTCAACTGTGATTGAAAGCCAAGAACACTTCATCACTTGACAGGATGTCTGACAATATAGACAAAACATGCAAACGTTTGACAAAATTGTGCCTATGTGTGATACAAGAAAAAAATTTTTTTTTCTTCGCTAACCCTATCTATGTCGCTCTCTCATTCCTGACATATTTAGGGCGACTCTCAAGTGCTTCATCATGCCTTTTCTTATCGACATCAAGAATCGACAAAACAACATAATGACGTAACTTACAGAATTCAGGATATTAATAGTAGTAATAGTACTATCATCTTTTTAAACGATGGTTACTAATTTTTTTTTTTCAATGTTATTCTTGTTATATTATAGGTACCCGAAGGCTCTATTTAGTTCTTTTCTACTGCGCGTTAAGGTTAAAGAATAAAAGAACAGGAAAAAAAAGAGAGGTAAAGTATTGAAGTTCATCAGTTCCATAATAATGCCCTATCTTCCGGATGAACGAACACTAACATGTCAATAGCCACATACGCATATAACTATAGATGCATACATCCGCACATCATCTATCTATAAGATCAAATCCAATAAGAAGCATTGCACAATACAACATATCATCAAACCCTTCAAGAAAAAAAAGATAGAAGAAAATGAACGCATCATGTTAAATTAACAATAATTTTCCATCAACGCCTCATTTGTACAATTAGTTTCTTCTTTATATGAATCAATCCAATGGCCCATAGTAAATGGTCACGTCACATTGACAATCAATTTACGTAGATATGAATGCGTGGTAAAGCGTATATTCTTTTTGTCCTATAAATTGACATTTGAGCTACATCATAGTTAACACAACAAAAAAAGAAAATAACCTGAAAAGAAAGAAAGGAAGTGATTGTCACCTTTCGATGATTTTTCTAATGATGATGTAACATACAAGAATATATACATATCATTCAGATGAACTTCTTTTCTTTTTTTTTTTCTATACGATGATTGATTGCATGTATTATACACACTTTATTACGAAATTATTGATTGTGGTGTAGCAAGTTCACTTTCATTCATTTCATCTTTTTTTTCACTATACAAAATTAAATTACTTGAACCTTCTTCTAAGTCTTCATCTAAAATTTTTTCAACTGAAAATTCATAGATTTCATTTTTATGTACATTTGTTATTTTAATCCTATATAAATTTATTAAATAGAAAAAAAAAAGTTAATATATTTTCTGTTGTTTTTTTTTGTTACCATTCACAATGCCATGATATTGTTTTACCACCATCATGCCATAGACGAATTTTTTTAATTTCACCACAATAAGATAAATCATTTATATAAAATTCATCGATTTGACCTTTACGAAATGGTTGTGTATTATTTGATGATTTATCTAATAGAATAGGTCCATAGACATTATTTGATATTGTACAAAATAATTGTAAATAAACATTTATTGGTATATCAGATTCATTATTCATATTTTTAGTACCAGTTAATATATGAATTATATATGTTGGCATTTTAGCATAACCAGGTTCTTGATTTATTAATGAATGAATAACAGTTCGTTTATCCATAGCATGTGCACCAAGCCAACGATTTATTGGAAATCTTTTATTACAAAAAAAAAAAGAAAAAAACGCTACAGTATTTTATTTAGATTTTCATTTCGGGAAAGATAACTTAAAACTTCGAGAGAGCAAACATCTATTTTGTGGAAATACAAACAAATAGTACAGAGAGGTCTGTAACAAAATTAAAATTATTCCGTTTTACTTTACGACTTTTCAAGCTATTATAACTTTCATAAATTTGATTCCGTAATAGTGACAAGATACCTAGTCATATATTCTGTTAGGCTTATATTTCCTATTGTCAAAGTTGTAGAATAGAAAAGTAAAAGGCCATGGATTTAATTACTCGCGGATCTTCGAATACTACGTGGTACAATAACCACAAACTTCGGAAGGACGTCGCTCTAATACTGGATAAAAACATTAGAATGACATATTGAGAATATACAACAAAAAAAAAGACTTGATTTTATTTACTTATAAGTCTTTGTTATCATTGTACGTGATAAAAAATCCCAATTAGCAGTGGAATCAATAATTTCAATCATATCACATAACCATGATTGCCATTCAGCTACTTCAAGATGTAATTCAATTGAATTAATCTATTTGAAAAATTTAATTAAATTAATTTCAAACAAAAAAGAAAATCCAATTTGATTACTTCTCCAAGTCGTTTGTTACTTTTAAGTTCAATAATATCTTCTCCTCCAGCATGAAATAATCCGTGCATTAATCGTCCTGAACCAAGGATAGCATCATTTAATGAAGCATATTCGCCATAAATTGATAATAAAATTTTTCCTCGTAGACTTGTTTGTACAGGTAGAACAGCTTGCGTTTTTACTGTTACAGAATAAATCCAACCTACATATATAATAAATCCATTAGTACAATTCTTATGGGATTAGACAAAAAAAAAGGAAACATAATATAGTTGTTTAAATGGTAAATAAGGAAATTTACTGACATATATTGTTATTTGTGAATTACTACTCAATGTTAACGTATGTTGATGATGAAAGATGTTAATCATAATACAACGACACTCTGAATTGATCATACAATATGTGCAAAAGTTTAAGAACATGATTAGAAACCTCGTATTGAATCATTTTGAACGGAGAAGTTGCAGCTTTTGACAATGTTTTAACGAAAGAGCAACTTAAATTTTTATTACAACATTTTTCAAATATATCTTTCCACTGAAAAGGACAAAATAGGAAGTACAGTAGTCAGCCATTTTCTGCGTGCGATATATGATCGATTTTGAGCACTACTGTATGTTACGATGAACGTGAAAAAAACGTACCTTAAATTCAATTATTTTTTATGATAACTCAGCAATGGACTTCGGTTTCGTAGCTATGCTTGTGAGGATGGGGATCATAGTGTGTATTTTTCCTATGGCAGACGAACGTGTAACTTTCGTTCTCGGAAACGACTTTATTTTGCTCAGAAGTGATTGCATCTCGCTCACAAAATCACTTTTAAGAATATAAAGAATTTTCTGAAAAAATCATCCGAGGGAAGTTATTGTCCACATTTTTTCTAGAAAATGTTTTGTGCCTTACATTGTCCGATGTAGTCTCGAATATACTATTGATCTTCAATAGAAATGCTTTGGAGTCTAAAAAACCTGTTGTATGGCTCAAGAACGATTATACTAACTGTGATGATAGAGGACACAGAATAGAACATTCTGGCACAGTTTGAGCAGACTTGGATTGGTGAGCATTCGTTTTATTGAGCTTAGCCGGTTCGGAAATTAGTTTAGAAAAAATTTTTATTTTTTTTTCTCAAAAGCTACACACTCAACTTCAAAAGTTTTTTCGATAATCGATACTAAATGATATGTAGATTCAGAGTATCTATTGAGCGTGCCTATTAGGTGATTTAATTTTGTCAAAAATTGATTTTCTCATCGATACCAGTGTTTCCAGGCTAATTTTTGAAGTTTGCTTGTTCTACTCTACTTAAAATTCGTAACGAAAACTTTTACACTATTAAATAGAACATGGATGCAGACTGTGCGAGTGTTTGAATTTCTATTCCTATACTTCAACACTTCATTTAGATTGTATTTCACAAAAAATAAGAATTTCTTTCTTTCGTTATATGAAAATTTACCAATATCATCTTCCCGTTGTCCAAAAATATTTACTGGATTATCATATGTATTTTCTATAAACCATTGTTCAACATCAAATCTAATTATATTTTAAAATGAATTTTAAAAAAAACCAAGAAAATAATTACCGATAGGATAAACCACTGATTTGATCAATAACAGTTATTCGTTCACAAAACCAAGGAAATGTGCCATTAAAATATATTTGTAATACTTTTAACTACAAGAAAAAAAGAATTTCAATAATTATAATTTATTATAAAAAAAAAAGTATGCATTCGAATACTTCTAACATTGGTATAATAGTAACATCAAATCGATCTTCTTGACCAGGTTGAAATATTGATCGCACGGAACTATTTATTCGTTTTAATGGTATACGAACTGAATCATTCACTGGATCGATTAATACAATTGATACGGCAGATGATTCATTAGTTTCTTCCGTATGTAAAGGTGTTTGTGTACCGGTTTTAATACGTATTGCATAGTTCGGTATGGAATCGAATCCATTTTCTTTAAATAAAATCTTTTATTTTATTCTTTTTTCTTGTTAATACAGATTGATGAACAACGAGTACGCGAAAACTTCAGCATCGAAATGTTAAGCACGCAAAAAACACAACGAAGGTGAAGGATGTGGATGAGAATGAAGAGAAGATTAATATCTAGAGATAAAACCGGTCTACTGGTAACGGCTGGTCTACCGACAACCGGTGCTGGTTCCATTCTTGCTTACATACATACATTCATTGATCTTTTACTAGACGTCATATTTACCTTTGTTAAGTTTTTGGTGCTGAAATTTACTCGTGCTTATCGTTCCGATTCCCATTAAAGCTAATTTATATATATATATCTTTGTACCTGATTTTCTTATTGATATGTCCGCTGGAATATGTAAAACTTTTGAATTCGTTCCTAAATCTTTATTTAGATATTTCTCAATTGTAAAACTAAATAAATAAATAGTTTGTAATTTTTCTTTTTTTAGTATTGATTTCTTTACTGAAATGATTTATTTGTTGTTATATCTGTTATATTAATCCAATTAATATGCCAAAAATCTTCTTTTTTTCCATTATGATATATATCAATTGAAGTTATTTGACCAACAACAGATATCATTTGTCCTATTTCAAATGTATCTGTTTGATTACATTTAAGATAATATAATTGTTCTAATGGAATACGTAATGGTATTTCATTTGATACACCAGAATCACCATATAATTTTAATGATAAATATACAGAACCAAAACGAAAATTTAATGAAGCACCTTGATATCCTGTTCGTACTCGAATAAAATAGACAATACCAGATTTAAAACCTGATTTCCATGTTGTTATTTTTTTATTTGTTATATCTGTTTTTATTGTTGCTTCAATAATATCATTTATGGGAAATCTATTATATTAAGAAATAGAAAAAAGATAAATTATTAAATTTATTTTAATATTCATCTTACATAACAATATCATCTGTTAATAAATTCTGAATTTCAATCGATTCACAAGCCCATCGAGTATTATCATTATCAAGTAATTGAAGATCTATTTTATTTAACTATTTTATTTTTCAAAAAAAGAATATGTATATATTATTTATAAATTTGAAAAACTTTACTCCGTTAATATATTCATTTCCTCGATAGAAAGATTCATTGATAGATCCAGATATTAATGGACGATTATGTTCAAGAGGAAAAAATGAGGTCGATTCATCACCAACTAATCGTATTAGAATTTCAGCATTTCGTGTTATATTTGTTAATACATTTGCTTGAGTTTTATATAATATTCTGTAGATTGGATCTATACAATGCAATAAAAAAAAGCTGTTAGGGCAGTCCCTACGGGATCAAAATGTGAAACACGATGTAACTTGTTTTTTCGGGATACATTTCTTCATCATCATTTTACTTAATATTCCAGAAATGCAGTAAGGAAATAGTAACGAGACGTTATTGATGTGCCGTCTAATACAGTTTGTGACGTGGGGAAAGTGTAGCTAAATCATATGCCACTGTTAGAGAGCTGTGCGTCTACGTTTTTGTGGATCCGGACTCGAAAGAAGTTAAATTTATGAACCCGCACCTGACAATAAATTAAACTTTGGGCCCGGGCATAGGTCTGGAAGGACCAACCTGATGGCGTCTATCAGGAGCTCCCTAGTTATGGTCTGCGATTGTATATCAATAATGTCTGTCGTGATCTGCGATGTGAGGGATGACGAGTCTTGCTAAGGTATCTCTCATAGTCTGTAGAAGGAGCGTGCAAATTTTTACTCTATATACTTCAACACTCCTTTTAGATTGTGTTTCACAAAATTTTTTCTCAGATTTACGATGAATAAATCTTTTACCTGATTCTCGAACTTTTTCATCGATCAATTCAGTTTCTATACGATCAAGTTCTTGATCTAGAAACAAAAAAACAAATAGAGCCGAGCATATATTGTAAAAATATTTTTATTGTATTTTACTCAAATTCTTAGGATCAATATTTTTAATTATGCCTAATTTATATTTGCCATAAATTACATCAGTATTTATTTTAGTACCATAATATTGATTATTTAAATAATCATAAATAATTATATATTCACATATCCATTTTGTATTTGTATGATTTCCATCAAAATAAATTGAAATTTCTTTTAACTAATAAATATTGAATGAAATATTTTATTTATTTAGTTTTATTTAATAATACTTCTCCAAGAGAACAAATACCATAGAGAAAAAATGTTGAAGTTTTTTCAGTTTCAAATGAATAATCATTATCACTTTCAATTAAGGGAATTAATTTTGATTGATTTTTATCACCTTTGATTTGAATATTAACAAGACTATCTTTAGTATTTATTGCTTCTTTAGTTCGAATAATTAATTGATATGATGGATATGCAGCATCATTACGTGGTCCTGGTAATGAAAGTGTTACACGACCAATATCAACTTCAAGATCAATATATGATGGAAATAATGAATCAACTTTTTGTAAATCAACACCCATTGGAAAACTTAACATATTTGACAAGATATGATTTTATTCATTGAATTTTCCAAAAAAAAAATTTCCTTACTGAACTGTTTTTGAATTATTTATATTTTTAATATCGATATATTCACATGTCCATGGAGCAAGATCTTCTGTATTCCAAATACGCATTGTATCCGGCTGAATTTGATAAATAAGAATTTGTTTTTTAAATAAAAATTTGTAAGTCATTACCATGCCTGTATCTGGTATTGTAAAACTAAATTCATCGATTTCTAATGATTGAAATAAATCCATTCGATCAGTAAGTTCATTTAAATGAATAATAGGTGAACTTCCAAATTGACCAGCAAAGAAAACATAAATTGAAGGTGTTAAACTTGGATTTGTTATTGTTCGAATACCAGTTTTTATTGTCATAAGAAAAGTTGTTAGTAATTTAGTTGATGCTGGTTGAATTAAAGTTGTTTTACTTGTTGTATTCAATGTATCAATAAAATCTGATTCATGACAATCACCACACCAACGATTAATTATATAACTGAAAAATGGCACATGTATCATCTTATCAGAATACATTTTTTAGATATTCATTTTCGATTTAGTTTATATGTTTCTCGTCAATGGGATGAAAAAAACATTTGAGTAACTCAAAGAAGTCTCTATCAAGATTTATAGATCTAAAAACTTCAATGAAACTGCTTGGATGAGAATGTTTGGAAAACCAAGATTCCAAACAACCATTTTTCTGGCGTCCATTTGAAGCTTTTGTTCGAAATGGTTTTATTTGATTGAACAAAATGAGATGTTTCGACTTTCTTTACGACATTCCTTCATCGAACTGTATTAAATCAATAGAAGGTTTCAAAGTGTCAAACACAGAGAAATCATTGAAATTTTTCATAAAAACACGAGAAAATGCTTCGTGGGTCTTCTGTCAATTGAATGCAGTTCGATGAAGGAACGTCAAAAAGAGTACTAAGACATCTTATTTTGCTCAGTCAAATAAAATCATTTTAAAAAAACTTCAAATAGATATCGGAAAATTGGTTTTTGGAGGTCTTGGTTTTCCAAATATCCTCATCGAAGCAATTTTGTTGGGATTTTTAGGTTCACCAATCCTGATGGAGAATTCTTTTAACTATTCAAATGTTTTTTCATATTACCATAGAGAAGAAAACTCAAAAATACAATTGTTTTAAACTTATGCTTAGTACTATACATAAAAAGATTCCATCTTATGTATTTTCCTCAAAGGATTCTATAAAATCTTCGTTCTAATACTTTGTAAAATATGATTGTCATTGAGCTTCTAATGTATACGTTGTATGCAATATGAACATTCTAATTTTGACCGGACAAAATTAAAATTCGACTAGAGTTCCATTTATACAATCAAAATAATTAAAATTTGAATAGAATAACTATTCTTGTTTTCTTACCCTAGTGAATACAATTCTCAGCACGGTACCCAAATATATTCACTAGTATAAAACACTTTAAAATTCAAAGGACTTTTCTCAATTCACTAATATATTCGCATAAAATCAATTCATTCTGAATCACATTTTGTCGAACAAAAAATTCATAGTTTTTCGGGTGTAATTGAAGAGCAGATCCTTAAGTCCTACATTGTCAACTCCGTATTTCTACTACTCATCAACATAACTGCTGTGATTAAAATTTTTCTTTTTCTTCATTCAACTTTATTTATAGTAAAGCATGTGATTGTATGAATTTGCCTCCAGTCAAATTCTAATTTTGTCTGAACAAATTTAGACTTTAACCAAATGCCAATTTGATCCGCAACATATACATGTATTGAGAAGTAGAACTATTGTCTTACACTCTATAGTCTTTAAAATTAACTTAACTGGCAACAAGCGATAAGTTTCTATAAGTATTGAAGCAATTTGATTGAGCTTTTACATTTGATTTCTATCGTCATTTTGTTATGTTTCTTATGTATATGCAAAATAATCCATCAACTATTAGAGAGATAATAGTTTGTTTGAATCGGCTGTTTCTTAATATTTTTTTTTCTGTATTTATTTTTTTACATTAATAAATTTTGTGATCAATTGATTTATGGTCGAGACAGTATGTGTAGAAAAAGAAGAAAAATGCACTATACGAACAAATATATTATTCATTTGCTATACACACGTGATCTGATTAAAAGTATTGTGTATTTTTGTTGTTTCTTCGTATTTGTCTATTTTCTCCTTCTTATAGTTCGATCTATATCTCAATTTTATTTAGAATATTCGATATTGCGCAATCGCAAAGAGAATATGGAGTACAACTCCTGTCTCCGTATATCTTGTTTCGTAATTAAAAAAAGGAAAAAGATGATACTAGCCGTCTTCGTCCTCTCATTATCATTTATAAACAAACGTTGATCTACTTAGCAACGACATGTGAATAATCGGATTACATTTGGTTCGAATACTTCTGAATAATTGCAATGTAATTAGAAGAACTTTCACGCATTGAGAAAAACAAATACCGTACTCGATTGCATTTGTCTAACTTATTCTAAATACTTAATGAGAAAAAAACATAATCTCGATCGGTAAATATATTATCTCGTTAGAAAAAAAAAATTCAATAGAAATATTAACTTGGATTTAATATTAAAAACCGTATCATGAACATAGATCATTTCACAAAACCATTTACAATTACTATTCACATTTGAACAGCTAATATTCACAGCACGAATCTATTAATATGATTTCAAATAAATTTTTTATCAAAAGAATAAAAAAAGTAAAAAATCTAACTTTGCCTAATCTCTTCGTTGGAATATAAAATGTATCAAGTTGTCCAGTACGAAATGGTTTAGTATCATCATCACATGTTAATAATATCCATTCAATAGAAGATTCTTCACCAATAAGAGTTAAAATTATATCTGCTGTTTCATTTAGTGTACTAAAACCTGATTTAATTTGAACTATATAAACAATTTGTGATTCTTCTATTTAAATAAAAAAATAACAATTATTTAAAAGATCTTTTGATTTTCTATTTACGACAATTAAAATCAATAATTTCATTGAATATTTCATATTTTCCATCTAGTCTTTAAATAAAAGAAAATCATCTAGACGATTATATTTTCTTGTTCAACTTACCGAATACATGCTTTTGTATCTGGTACAAATATTTCAATAATATCAAAATTAAATTTTGCTTCTTCACTTGCATGAAATATTGTTAAACCTATTATCTAAAAAACAAAACTGTTAGCGCAGTTTCTGCAGGATGAAAATACGAAACACAATGTAGCTGCTCTTGCTACTTACAGGAAGAATGTTTTATCCTATCCATTGTAACACAC